TTATAAAGTTATAATGTTTATTTTGTACCTAGAGTTAGTTAAAGTTTCAATGTATATTTTGTACCTAGAGTTAGGGTTAGTTATGAAGTTATAATGTTTACTTTGTACCTAGAATTAGTTATAAAGTTATAATGTTTATTTTATACCTCTAGTTAGGGTTAGTTATGAAGTTATAATTCATTCATTCAACCTTTATTTACACAGGTTAATCCCATTGAACCTTCGAGAATTTACAAGAGAGACCTGATTTTAACAAAGAGCGATGACAACAGTGGACAACAAAGTCAACAATAGACAATCATAAAGGATGTGCACAAACTGAGAACTTTTTTTAACAAGTGAAAATAAAATGGTATGTAAATGAAAATGTAACCAAAAAAACCAGCTAGTTGGAAGGCGATGTAGAACATTAAAAACAAGAACATGTCTGCATTGGCTTTTCCCAGGAACTAAACAGATGTTTAAAGCCACTTAGAGAGGTCAAGGTTGACACCTATATAATGCTTATTTTGTACCTAGAGTTATTTATAAAGTTATAATGTTTATTTTGTACTAAGAATTAGGAGTAGTTATAAAGTTATGTCCTGATGCTGCTCAGTAATCCAGGTTGATGACTCTAACTAGGTTAAGTCAGGTCATTTGGACAGATTCTTCTTGCTGAAATGTTTCATGTTTTATCCAGAAGACTTCTTCAGTCTGCAGAGCTGCAACAAATACATAAATATCACCTTCTCATAGTGGCTCAACCAGTTTGTTGTGGGCACCTGTTGAACCATTTCCAACTGTCCACCTCTTACAATGCTGTTATTGCTAGTATCATTCAGCCCTCTGTGAATAGCAAGTGGCCATCAGGGCATTAATGATCTGTCGTTAGGCTGGTGGTCCTCCTCTATCATGTGAACAGCTGGTTCTGGATGTCACCAGCAAACTGGTTGATCCACTATGAGAAGGTGCTATTTATAAGACTGAGTTTATTGCAGCTCCTCAGACTGAAGAAGTCCATCATTTAATTTGGGACAACATGGCAGTGTAGTGGTTAGTGCTGTTGTCTCACAGAGAGAAGGTCACAGGTTCCCCACCCAGGATTCAAGGTTCTTTATTTGTCGAAACGAGTACACAGGGTCCCAGGTACATCCAACAAAAGTATAAAATGTAAAAGAAAAACCACTAAGACGTAAGACATGAACTAAATAAAACATTAACTAAAAATACACTAAGCACTAGAAGTACAAAAACATTACGTCGAAGAGCAGCACGAACATGAGTCTGTGTGAGCAGATGAGCACGCATGAACACATCAACATGAAACAGATCAGCAGCAACATGAAACAGATCAGCAGCAACATGATGTGATTTTTCACAGTGATTATTTTGGTTAGATATTTGTGAGTCTAACAGCCTCAGGGTAGAAGCTGTTCCTCAGTCTAGTGGTTCTACACTTAATGCTCCTCAACCTCCTTCCTGAGGAGCGGGGCAAAAAGTGTGTGCTGGGTGAGTGGGGTCCTTCATGATGCAGGTGGTCCTCTTCCTGCATCTGGAGGTGTGGATGTCTGTGATGGTGGGGAGACTGACTCCAACATCTTCTGTGCAGCCTTCACCACTCTCTGCAAAGCTTTTCTTTCTGCAGCTGTGCAGCCTCCATGCCACACGTTGATGCTGGAGCACAGGATGCTCTCCACTGCACACCTGTAGAAGGAGGTGAGGACTGAGCTTCCAGACCAGCTCGACTCAGCCACCTGAGGAAGTAGAGTCTCTGATGAGCTTTCTTGATCTCCCAGCCTTTCTGCGTGGAGTTTGCATGTTCTCTCCGTGCATGCTTGGGTTTTCTCCTACAGACCAAAAACATGCATGTTAGGCTGATTGAGGACTCTAAATTGTCCCTAGGTGAGAGTGGATGGTTGTTTGTCTCTATGTGTCCCTGTGATGGACTGGAGACCTGTCCATTTGTCCCTGTGATGGACTGGAGAACTGTCCAAGGTGTCCCCCACCTCTTGCACAGTGACTGCTGAACATGGGCACCAGCTCTCCTGGGACTTGGGAACGAGAAGAGAGTAAAGACGGCCCTGTTTCACTTCTAATGATTTTCATCCAACCATAAAGTGAGTTCACTGGACCTCTGAGGTCTCTCAGGTCCGGGGACCTCTGAGGTCTCTCAGGTCC